TAATAATAATAATAATAATAATAATAATAATAATAATAATAATAATAATAATAATAATAAAGTTGGAAGGGACCTTGGAGGTCATCGAGTCCAACCCCCTGCTCAGGCAGGAAACCCTATACCATTTCAGACAAATGGCTGTCCAGTCTCTTCTTAAAAACTTCCAGTGTTGGAGCATTCACAGCTTCTGGAGGCAGGTGGTTCCACTGGTTAATTGTTCTCACTGTCAGGAAGTTTCTCCTTAGTTCTCGGTTGCTTCTCTCCTTGATGAGTTTCCACCCGTTGCTTCTTGTCCTGCCTTCAGGCGCTTTGGAGAATAGCTTGACTGGTGGGTTTTTTGTCAATGCCCAAATCATAATCAGAATTGTATTTCCTTCATCCCTTCTTTTGTCACTGTTATTTATTAAATCTGTACGCCACCCATTTCACTGTCAAGCAACTCTGGAAGGCTTACAAACACCATAAAAGCAGAATAGAAACGGTAAATATTTTCTATTCCTGTCTATTCCAGGCCTAGCCAGGCCCGGTTTCCACTTGTAGCCTTACCAGCCCTGAATACTGGCCTGCTTCTGACCATGGTTTTGGCTTGGGCTCTGACTGCTCCAGAACCCCCGAGCTGCAGGATCGTGGCTGCGATCCTGCGGAGGGAGGCGGAGAGCGGCTTTCGCTAACCCCTAGGTGCCTCTGCCCTTTTGCAGCAACATCATTGACGTTTCAGCCGCAGATCAGCAGCAGATGGAACAGCACGAGTACATGGACCGGGCCCGGCAGTACAGGTGCGCTGGCCCTGGGCAGGGGGGGAGGGAGAAGGCTGGCCCTACTTGGGAGGGGCTGTGGGGGGGGCTCCTTCACCTGTCTCAGGCAGCCCGGCTGTGAGATCACAGTCGTAAGTAGTTCTCGACTTACGACGGCCCACTTAGGAACCATGGCGATATTTACGTCACTGAAAAAAGCGATTTGGAACTGTTTTTCACCCTGCCGACCGTGGCAGCCTCCCCGTGGCCGTGTGATCAGAATTCAGTCAGCTTGGCGGACCAACTCGTATTTACGATGGTCGCCGTGTCCCGGGGTCACGTGATTCCCCTTTTGCCACCACCTGAGCCAGTAAAGTCAATGGGGAAGGCGGATTTGCTTAACGGGTGTGTCACTAGCTTCACAGCCCTCGTGATTCACTTCACAACAAGGAAGGTTGTAAAATGGGGCAACGGTTGTTTTCGGTTGAATTGCGGTCGTAACTCAAGGAGGGCTCCCTGTACTTAACCCAGCTGCCCAGACTGAAGAACGTGCCCAGTCCCTGAGCCTGGAACCTCTGACAGCCCTTAGGATCAAAGACGTGCCAACTGTGCGAGGGAGGGAGGGAGGGAGGGAGGGGTTGACTCTCTAGGGTGGGGGCACCTGGAGCTGCCGATCAGTTGCCCCCGGGGGGGGCAAGTGGAGGATGTTACCCGTGCTGTGGGCCCTCTGGGGCTGCCCCTGGCCACTGCTCTTGCTTATCCCATCTGTCAACGCTGCAAATACTGTATATTCTTGCTTTGACAATATGCAGAACTGTCTGGTGTTTTTATAGTTAAACCAGGCAACAGGAAAAAAGGGGAGGAGAATAAGGAAAGCCGGGGAAAAAGAAACTGGAAGTGAATCACATCTTCCAAGTTGATTGGAAGATGTGAACCATGACCCCAAAATAAGGGAGGCGGAAATGCTTAGAACAGTGATGGCGAACCTTTTAGAGATCGAGTGCCCAAACCACAACCCAAAACCCACTTATTTATCGCAAAGTGCCAGGGCCACATCAGCATTGTGGTTCCCTCAGGGAGGGTGGGCTGTGTGGCCCACTGGGTGGGCATGGCTAGGGTGGTTATAGCAGACTGGGTGGCTGTGGCCAGGTAGGCATGGCCACCTTGATGCTCTAACACCTCTACTCAAGCTTGCTAGCCGGCCGTTTAGCCTGCTTTGTGCTGGGCAGAACTGCTGCTCCGGGGGGCAGCGGTGGCCTAATGGACCTGCGCGAGCTGCTAGTGGCAGCGGTGTGTGTGCCCACAGAGAAGGCTCTGAGTGCCGCCTCTGGCACGCGTGCCATAGGTTCACCATCACTGGCTTAGAATGTATATGCCTAACGGAAGAGAAGCCAGACCTAAGCATTTCCACCATGCTGTACTGACGTCTCTGTAACCTTAATAAATGCTTTTAGGGAAAAATATGCCTGAAAGTCCTTTTAAGTGTTTCGTTAATCAGACACATGACACCATCCCTCTCTGCCCCCCCCCCCAGCACCCGGCTTGCCATGCTGAGCAGCAGCCTCACGCACTGGAAGAAGCTCCCGCTGCTGCCCTCGCTGACAAACCAGCCACACCAAGTCCTGGCCAGCGACCCCGTGCCCTTCGCGGACCTGCAACAGGTTAGTAGCGTGGCCGGTGGAATTAGCCACGCTGTTCTGTCCCCCGTCCGACTCACACCCCCCAACCAGTCAGCCGAGGGCTGAAAAACTGCTCAGCACAGCCAAATACAAATGAACACTTGGCAGCAACTTCGTGGCTGCCTGCCAAAGCCTTTACTGATAATACAAAACAAAACATAAGATAAGTCCAGGATAAATTGCCGGAGTGCTTGCAACAGGAGATTCAGCAAAATTGTCCGTCACAAGAGTTTCACACGACACACCCCTTGCTTATATAGCCAGTGGGGTGTGGCCCAGTGACTCAGCTGAAATCTCTGACACGGCGTTTCAGCTGCTGCGCACGCTTGTCCCTCCGACGCTGGCGTGGATCCAGCCAAGACGTATCCTCTTCGGAGTCCGATACACCTGGCTCCTGGCCAATCCCAGAAGCACCGGGCTCCTGGCCAATCCCAGAAGCACCGGGCTCCTGGCCAATCCCAGAAGCACCGGGCTCCTGACCAATCTCCTCTCCGTCAGAAGGCACCGAAGGCCGCACCAGAGGGGAAGGTCCTGGAGAGGGAGGCCTGGCCATCTGCTCTCCTTCATGTTCAGAGCCTTCCTCCTCTGATGAGAGGGACCCACAGGACGGAGCCACAACACACGCTGTGCGTCCCTCTCGCTTCCCTCTCTGAAGCCAGAGCAGGCAACAGGCCCCATGTGCCCCAGCCGGCCTGGCATGACATTGCAGGCCCCCTAGCCCCCCCCTGGGCTCTGGGGCTTTGAGCTGTGGGCACTGGGGGGGGCTCCTTACGGCTTGAGTACCAATGTCATCTGCAGCTTGTATTATGTACACATATTAGCTTTTTTTTAATCCCACTTTTATTGCAAGGTGAACATGCATAACATTCCTTTCTGCACAAGGACCCAGGGAGGTGGGTTGAGCTGAGAGGGAATGACTGGCGCCAAGTCACCCTGCTGACTTCCATACTTAAAGTGGGACTAGAATTCTCCGTCTCTGGATGGTCGGCCCGGGGTCACCCAGCTGGCTTTCGCACCTAAGGCAGGACTAGAACTCTCTTCTCTCCCGGTGATTGGCCTAAACTCAACTCAGTTGGATTTCATGCCCAAGGCGGGACTAGAACTCGCCGTCTCCCAGTGACTGGCCCCAAGTCACCCAGTCTCTTTTCAGGCCTAAGGCGAGACTAGAACTCGCCGTCTCCTGGCGTTTGGCCCAAAGTCACCCAGTGGGAGTGTTCTTCGTTCCTTGATTAGCAGTAGCAATAGCCCTTAGACCAGGGATCTTCCAACTTGGCCCTTTGATGACTTGTGGACTTCAACTCCCAGAATTCCTCAGCCAGGCACGCGTGCCTGGCTGAGGAATTCTGGGAGTTGAAGTCCACAAGTCATCAAAGGGCCAAGTTGGAAGACCCCTGCCTTATACACCACTTTACAGCTCTCAGTGGTTTACAGAGTCAGCATCTTGCCCGGCCCCAACAATCTGGGTCCTCATTTTACCGCCTTCCAAAGGATGGAAGGCAGAGTAGTCCCTTGATTGGGGTAGCTAAGCAGAGATCAACCCCCCTCCTCCTCCTCGCACGGATGATGTTACCTAGCTGGGTCGCGAAACGTCCGCAAGAAAGCCGCCAAGCCCAGGGAGTACCAAAGCCCCCACAGGAGTGCAGAATAGCGTCCAACATCCCGGCAGAAGTCTCTCCTCCGTGGCTGGGGTAGGGGTGGTGGTGGGGCTTCTCCTGAGAGCCCCCCCTCCCCTCTCTGGCCTTCATTCCCCTCTCCTCCGTGTCCCCCTTCCTCTAGGTCTCCCGGATAGCTGCCTACGCCTGCAGTGCCCTGTCCCAGATCCGTGTGGACGCGAAAGAAGACCTGGTGGTCCAGTTTGGGATCCCCTGATGGCCATCCTCACGGCCTCGTTCTCCTCCTCCTCCACTTTTAATTTCTCTCCTCCCCACCGCTGGCTTGGCACCGCAGTGGACCTCGCGCACACAAGGAGGAGACACTGAATCTATTACCTGGCCACAGAGACAATGACCCGTGGGCAACCGTGGCTGGCGAGGCCCATCACTTGGTGCCCTCCTCCTCCTCTTCCTCCTCTTCTCCTTAGCTTGGCAAGGCGGTGCCCGGTCGGGCTGGGCAAGGGTCAGCCGTGAGGAGGAAGGGCGGCTACGGGACTCACGCAGAAGGGGGGGAGGCGTCGGTGGGTGGGCTTCCTTTACCTTTGTGGTTGTGGCTCTGGAATTTTTTGACTTTGTGTGGGAGGGGAGGGGGTGGAGGGGCACCAGCAAGACAGAGGGGGCTTCTCGTCCTCCCCCACCCCACCCCCACTGAGCTGGGTGGTGCCCTTTCCATCCCCTGATCTTTTGGCTGTTTTAGAGCGGGGGAAGCAGCCCTGGTGAAAGTAGAGTTTGCTTTTTAAGGGGTGGGGGGAGAAAAGCCACCCAGCCCACGGAAGCGAACCCTTTTGATCTGAGCGTCCTCCTCGGTCTGTCTGTACCCCCCTCCCCTGTTTTACCTGGCTGAGCTGTCATTTTAATTTTTTTGGTTTTTTGTTGTTTTGGTTTTGCTAAAGTAGGTTAAGAAAAGTATAAATATATTCATCTGAGCAAAGGGCTGCTCTTTATTTGACGAGAGGTGGGAGGAGGGAACTGCCACTTTTACACTTAAGGGGGGGGGNGTCACCTTCGGCTTGATGTTCATGCGCCTCCAGACGGCTGCGGTGCTGCGGTCCAGTTTGGTGACGCCGCTGAAATCGAAGGACTTCAGCTGGGGCAAGGTGGACAGGACGTAGCTCCTAGGAAGGGAGGGGGCAAGAAGAGGCGGTCAGTCCCTCACTGGGCAGGACCCTCCACCCTTCCCTCCTCCAAGGGCTGAACAAGTGCTCCGCCATTGAGGGCTGCTCGTTTAAGGTGCCCAAGGCAGGGAGGGCCACAGTGCCTTCTCTGGGGTGGGAAAGGGGCTAACCCAGAGGTAGGCAAGCTTGGTTCTTTTATGACTCGTGGACTTCAACTCCCAGAATTCCTGAGCCAGCATGGGGGAACTGACCCCTTCATGACTTGTGGACTTCAACTCCCAGAATTCCTGAGCCAGCATGGCTCAGCTTAGAAACCTCTCCCTTTCCCCTCAGCATGGCTGGCTCAGGAATTCTGGGAATTGAAGTCCACGAGTCATAAAAGGGCCAAGTTCGAAGACCCCTGGACTTCAACTCCCAGAATTCCTCAGCTAGGCACGCTGGCAGAGGAATTCTGGGAGTTGAAGTCCACAAGTCATCAAAGGGCCAGGTTTGAAGACCCCTGGTCTAGGATCTCCTGCTTAAACGGGGCAAGATCCCTTCCACTTCTGTTATTCTTTCTCAAGGAATCCTTCCAACTACAGAAGGATTCAAGCTCAGAGGTGTGTTTCATCCTCCTCCTCACAAGACAGATGAAAGAGCAGTTTCTCTAGTGGGTTGACACAGGTCCAAAAAGAGCCAAGAAGAAGTTGAAAGAGCTGACCCACCCAGTTGGACTTCCTCCAGGTCCTGGAACCAGCTCAATCCAGAGAGTCGATGGATCTTGGAGACCAGCCGGGGTGGAAGAAGAGAGTGTGTGGGGCAGCAGGACTATCAATAGATAATTCAACGAGGGCATAATTCAGGATCTCCTAAACTATTTAGGGTTAATTTTGCCTGTGTCAATCAGAGGTAGTAGCAGAAATTGTAATTTACGCAATGAGCCATCGCTCCAATCACAGTGTCCTATGTAGGGCGTTGTGTAACCTTATGTTCTTGCAAGACTTATGAAATTGGAGTGGTTTGTTGCCAGTGTCTTAGGAAGGAAGGCCGTGCTTTCTACGTACCGAATAATGGCAACGATTTGTCCTGATTTACTAGGAACTCAACGTGGCACCCGCCAATCTAAGGTGGGTTTTTGTCTGGCAGAAGCTGCTGTGGAGAATGGAAGCGGATCAGGAAATCATCCCAGGAAGATGGGCCAAAGCAGGGGTCTTCCAACTTGGCCCTTTGATGACTTGTGGACTTCGACTCCCAGAATTCCTCAGCCAGGCACGCGTGCCTGGCTCTGGAATTCTGGGAGTCGAAGTCCACGAGTCATGAAGGGGCCAAAGTTTTCCCCATGCTGACTCAGGAATTCTGGGAGTCGAAGTCCACGAGTCATGAAGGGGCCATAGTTCCCTCATGCTGGCTCAGGAATTCTGGGAGTTGAAGTCCGCAAGTCATGAAGGGGCCAAAGTTCCCCCATGCTGGCTCAGGGATTCTGGGAGTTGAAGTCCACGAGTCATGAAGGGGCCAAAGTTTCCCCCATGCTGGCTCAGGAATTCTGGGAGTTGAAGTCCGCAAGTCATGAAGGGGCCAAAGTTCCCCCATGCTGGCTCAGGGATTCTGGGAGTTGAAGTCCACGAGTCA